AAGGAGAAGGAGGCCGCTGCCGCCGCGGCAACCGCAGCCGCCGCCTCTCCGCACCAGCCCGCGCTGCGCGAGGAGAGCGGCGCGGGTGAGAGGGGCTGACGCCGCCGGGGCTCAGGGGCCCGCCCCTCGCCCTGGACCCCCGGCCCTCCCTGCACCAGCCTGCCCAAGCTCCTGCGAGCACCCTGGAACCTCCAGAGGGAGAGAGGAGAGATCACGTGGACTTTTCTCTGAAGAACAAGACAATAAAATAAACGGCTCTTTTATTTATAAAGGCCCCAGGAGCAGTCGTCTAGGCTGCAGGATCCAGTTCTCTTTGCATTCTGTCTGTCGGAAGTAGTCCTTGCGCGTTCCTCCAACTGCACTGCGAAGGCCCCTGCTGGCTGGGGCTGCCCCTCCGGACGGGCTCCAGCGCCGCCACTGCTGCCTCCCGCGCTGGGACCGCTGCTGCAGCGCAGCCTCTTCTGGTCCTCCTGGTTCCCCTGCTCCCCCTCGGTCACCATGGAGAGCCAAGCAAGCACAAGCTCACCCTCCTTGCAGCATTTTTCCCCCCCCCCCCCCCAGAGGACCTCAAACGCTGCACAGGCCCTGCCCCAAGCCCCAAAAAGAGGAACGCCCCTGGAGGGATTGTGGTGGCCTTCTCCGAGAAGGAGCTCAGCCTGGTACCTGTGCTGTCCCCTACACGACAATGTCCAGGCCTAAGCTGCTCCGGTGACCCTGTCCTCAGGCCACCACCTATGGGAGGAAAGCTACCAGAATGCCTATAGGGCAGAGGACAGGTACCTGTCCCTTTGCTGCTTGCTAGCGGCCTGCTAGGGCTCTGAAGTTTTCTCAGATATTTGGGGAAGGGGCCAGTGTTGGGTCTCAAGCTCTCAGTCTGCTGGAAGGAAGGGAACTGTGCAGAGGGTGGAAGTTGTAGGGTTGGGCTGGAGAGAACTTTTGATAAGCCCTGGCCCTTCCTGCTTCCCACCTTTTTGCCAAACACTTTTGGTCCCCGAAGGCTGCTAAGGGGGCTTATCCTGGGCCCAGCCTGTTCCCTCTTGCCGCAGGTTCCTTGCCTGTGTATGTCCTGCCCTTGGCAGCTGCTTCCTCACCCCATCCCACCTGGTCTAGCGTGGATATCCACCACCCAGCCCCCGGTCCTACATGCTGGAGATTTCTGGATCCTTCCCTGGGAGGGGGAGGTCTCCTAACCAGATTGGACAGGAGCCTTCATTCCTCGACTTGTGTCATTTGGGAGCTATTTATTTATTCTTAATATTTAATTTTTAACATCCTCTCAGGGACCAGGGGCCTCTTGCTTTCCAGAGGCCCAAGTGCATTTATCCCAAAATAAGGCACCTTCTTGGCATCCGCCCCCCCCCACCCCCCCATTCCTAAGACCCTAAGGTCCCTCACCTCATTGCTCTGGAAGCTGTTGCCAGTAGGAGTGATTAGTAGCACTGAAAGAGGGTGGAAAGGTGGAAGGTGTCACCAAAGCCACACAAAGACCAGCAGGAGCAAGGGAGATCAAAGGCAGTTCTTATTGCTACCTCTTCTCTGGCTGTATTTTCAGATTGCCTGAGGGGATTGACTGGAAGCCAGAATTCTAGTTCTGTTTCTAGTTTGAAGAAGCCATATTTGGCATGGAGTCACTGAAGTGAAGTGCTAGAAGGTTCCAGAGGCCTCCCTTGCCAGTCCCATGGAGGGCTGAGTTATTTTTCTGATCTTGCTACTCAAGTTTAGTTGTGTTAGAAGTTCTAAGTGAATGCAAGTATGTTGCAAGAATGCAGGTCAGCATGTTAGGAAGGAGCCAAAAATTCTACTACTCTTACAAGATAGCCTAAAGGCGCCATGTTGGTAGCTAAGAGTGGGGAGGGAGTTTTGTTTCTAAACTATGCACTAACTGGTGTTTTTCAGCATTGATTTATGCATTAATATGGTTCTTCAGGACCCCAGATATGGGAGCAACATCTTTCTCCCCGCCAGACTCCAGGACCGCTACATAAATCTTCAACTTCCCAGTTAGTTTCCTCCAAAGGCTTCTACAAACTCAATGTCCCAAGATCGCAGAAATCTGGTATACCCTCCAGAAATAGAAGGGTAGCAAATTTAGGCTGTCTGCTAAATCACTTATGTAATAAGAGTGCCTTCGCAGCTTTGCCCCAAAGTGCTACTTATGTTTCCCAAGGTTTTTTCTATTTAAATATAATTTAGTTTCAGGCCCCTCTGTGGACACATGGTAACAGGAACCTCCTTCGTTTAGAGTGATTCTCCTCTTCTAAGCTCATAGAAATCAGACTAGGTGAAATGTTGGTGGAGAAAATCAAGGTGGTACCTCTGTATTAATTCCACCAGACCCTGTATTTTAGAAGCGTTCATGCTCCAGGATGGATTTATATCTAGAATATAAGGTGAAAGTTAAAATGTTTAGAGGGCAGATGCAATTGTTCCAAGTGACCTGCCAATAAAGTAGGTGCAGCCATAGGAGCTGGGATAGGTATATCCTTTATGGTGCTTTCTCCCTGTGAACACATTAGGCTCGTCTTGTTTGTTTTTCTTCCTTTTTTCTTCTGTTCAGAGCTGTTTAAGAAGTTAAATGACAAACACCTCCAGCTTTATTATGCCCTCCCCACACCATTTCACATAGCCATTTTCCAGTCTCCATCTACACTTTGCTAAGGGCATGAAATTAACCTAGTGCCTGTGTTCCAGACCGTTTCTGAGGTCTCTTACCCACCCACGGAGTCTGTGCTTCAGTGCACTGGCCTCCATGCCTTCAGCAGCCCCCCTCACAGCTAAGGTACACCCTCATCCCTTCTGCCTCCCCACCTCCACCCCTGGCACAGAGGTCGTGTGCTGCTTATGTCTAAAAGAAATCCCCTATATTTAACTGCCTCAGTGACCTAACCTCTTTCTTCTCATGTGCCAGATGTTAAGATGAAGGAGGAATACAACACATACTCAAGCCTCAGCTGTTTAAATATATTTTCTCTGGGGCTCTCTTTTTTCGAACGGTATTTATTACCAGACTAGCAAGCCTAACTCCTTAGGTTTACAGGAAGTATGCATATTTTTATAAAACAATTGTATGTCCTCCCCATATTTTGCTGTGTTAATATTTGCCTCTAACAGTTTGCAGCTGTTTCACCTTTTCCTTGTTTGTCTCTAAGTTGAAGGCCTTGTTTGGAGGGGACAGCACAGGAACAGCCTTGACAGTCTGTAATTATTGTACAGATATTTTAATAGCATATAAATAAGTATATTCCTTTTATTTTGGGGAAAAAACATCAGACACTGCCTTTTGTGTGTTTGCTGCCTGTGGCACCCTTTTTTAAAGACTGTTACATATTAAAATAGTGTGTATATATATATATATATATATATTACCTCTTTTGCTGTACAGTTGTGATAGACCAGACTGAAGATTTTATTTTTTGTGTGCTTTTTATAAAAAAAAAAAATAACACACTAAAGTAAATCTTGCGGATGTGATTGTAATGTACCTATGTAACTTATTTACTTTTGAATGTTCTTCTGTATCTTTAAACCTTTTATTAAATAAGGTTTTAAAAATTCAGAGTTGAAGGCTGTGTTCTTTTGGGGAGATTTTCACCATCTGGGATCGACTAAGTAGGCCTTGTTTTGCTTGCAATGTATTACTTGACATTTGGAACCACAAGGATTCTCTTTTCATCAGGTCTTTGTCAGTGATGCCGGGAGAGGAAAAATAACACGCTAGTGTTTGCCTGTTTGCAAAGATGACTGAATAGACACAGATCTTTTTACATAACTTTAGACAAGAAAAAGTCTCAACTCAGTGTCTCACACAAAAATATGTACACGGCACACTTCCAACGTGTTAGTTTCATTGACCTAAAGTATGGAGGGGTGCAGAATGCCATCAGGTGGCACAGGGAAGTCGCGGGGCTAAAGATGGTATTTTCCTATGCAGCGGTAGGCCAAGTTTGCCTTGGATGCATTTTCAACAATATCACCTTAACTTCACTCCAGAATTGTATTACCTTTTAAACACGGTGCTTTGTTAGAAAAAAAAATCCGGAAAACGTGAAAAAGGAAATGCGCCATCAAAATAACGCCTGGAGACCCTCGCTAGCCCCTTGGCAACCGCTCGACCCCGAGAACCACGGGAACTCGAGGAACTCAGGTAGTCAAGGCCACCGTTGCCATGGTTACGCTCCGCCACGGGGGCGGGGCGGAAGCAGCTCACTGGGCCTGCCCCGCTCCCCACTGCGGCAGTAACGCCTTCGCGGGCTGCGGATCCCAGGACCTGGCCGCGGAGCTGCGCCACACCGCCGCAGCCCGCCGCAGCCGGCGCACCGCCACTCCTGCCCGCCCTTGCCTCGCTTCTCCGTCCTGCTGGCGCCTCCGCTGCCCGTGGCGTCGTTCCTCGGCCACCTCGCCGCCTGGAGCCATCACTAGGTCTGCAAAGAAGCCACTTGCGGACTGGCCCCGCCGCCGCCGCCGCGACCTCAGAACAATCTCTTCCTTCGGGGACTGCGCAGCCCTCGTCTGCAAAGCAGCCGCTCCTCGCCCAGCTGAAGGCCGGGCTCCGACCGCGAACGCCGGATCAACAGCGGGAGCAAGCAGCGGGTGCCCGACGCCCCAGCTGCCGAGAGGAAGCGGCCACGCCCCGCGACCACACCCCGGCGCCTCTTCAGCCCCGTGGCTCCAGGCTTCGCCACCCGCCGTCGCTCCTCGCCTTCTGCGCTGCGACACGACACCCTGCCTGCGGGTGGGAGACGCGGGCTGCAGACCCCGACCGGAGACGCAAGATGGCGGCGGACGCGTGACTGGCTGCCAGAGCATCCCAGAGGCTTCGCTCGGAGAACCAGCCGAAGGACTGACTTTGCGGGGCAGCGAAAGGACAAGAGGAGGACTCTGGTGTCATTTGTTAATTGTGATCGCGTGAAGCTTGCCTCCCTCGGGCATATTGGGGGGAGTGTCTGCTGCTGTCCTAAGTCCCAGAGCACAGGGAGCCACAGTCTAATCCTTATTTGTAGAGTTGGGGCCCTTGACAGTTGGGAAAATGGCGATGACACTGTTGGAAGACTGGTGCAGGGGGATGGATGTGAACTCCCAGAGAGCCCTGCTGGTCTGGGGGATCCCAGTGAACTGTGATGAGGCTGAAATCGAAGAGACCCTCCAGGCTGCGATGCCCCAGGTGCCCTATCGAGTACTTGGGAGAATGTTTTGGAGGGAAGAGAATGCAAAAGCAGCCTTGTTAGAGCTCACTGGCGCTGTCGATTACGCCGCGATCCCCAGGGAGATGCCGGGTAAAGGAGGGGTCTGGAAAGTGGTCTTTAAACCCCCGACTTCCGATGCTGAATTTTTAGAAAGGCTGCACCTCTTTCTGGCGAGAGAGGGGTGGACCGTGCAAGATGTTGCCCGCGTCCTTGGGTTTCAGAACCCTGCTCCGGCCCCAGGCCCAGATATGCCGGCAGAGATGCTAAACTATATTTTGGATAATGTTATTCAGCCTCTTGTTGAGTCCATATGGTACAAGAAGCTGACGCTGTTCTCTGGGAGGGACATCCCGGGGCCGGGGGAGGAGACCTTTGATCCCTGGCTGGAACACACTAATGAGGTCATAGAGGAGTGGCAGGTGTCTGATGTAGAAAAGAGGCGGCGGTTGATGGAGAGTCTTAGAGGCCCTGCCGCTGATGTCATCCGCATCCTCAAGACTAACAACCCTGCAATAACCACTGCTGAATGCCTGAAGGCCCTTGAGCAGGTGTTTGGGAGCGTCGAGAGCTCTAGGGATGCGCAGGTCAGATTTCTGAACACTTACCAGAACCCGGGAGAAAAGTTATCTGCATATGTCATTCGACTGGAGCCTCTTCTGCAGAAGGTGGTGGAGAAGGGGGCTATAGATAAAGATAACGTGAACCAGGCCCGCCTGGAGCAGGTTATTGCCGGGGCCAACCACAGCGGGGCCATCCGAAGGCAGCTGTGGCTGACGGGGGCTGCGGAAGGGCCTGCCCCTAACCTCTTCCAGTTGCTGGTGCAGATCCGAGAGGAGGAGGCCAAGGAGGAGGAGGAGGAGGCTGAGGCCGCCCTCCTGCAGTTAGGCCTGGAGGGGCACTTCTGAGGCCCAGGAAAAAAGGCTGTACTGCAGATCTAGATCACAGCTGCTTTCCTTGTCTCCATGCTATCTTACAGGTGTCTCTTAGTAGTAAAGACTTAGCCATGTGCTGGGGGGGAGGGGGTTTGAGAGCAGGGAGGCAGCAGGCCTGGGTATTCATGTAACATTAGTACAATCGTGCAAATGAGCACCCTGAGCTACTTACTATAAGTGAGTCGTACCTAGCTGCAATGCCAGGTAAAGACTTGTGCACCAGTGCTCAGTGCAAGCTGTCGTTGTGGCAATCATCAGTTGTAAAACATGTGAATTTGTGACACTTCCCATTGAGGTAATTAAGTGTGAAATTGCATGTTCTGATGTTTAGCACAGGACCTGGCAAACACAAAAAGTGTTCAGTAAAAATGATGAGCCGTTATTACTAATATCGTGAATAGTTCTGTGTTTACAGTAAATTGTTCCTAATTTATATTAATGGAAAGAAATGTGACTTAATTAGATACTACTAGTTATTCAACCATACAAAGCAAATTTCTTATTTTTCATCTTGAAACGTCTGGATCAGTTTAACTGACAAGTGTTCTGAGACTATGGAATGGGGTGTTAGGAAACAATTCTAGAACTGCGTGAATCAATTTTTCTCTGTACAAGATACAGATATAAACTGCATGGGAAGGTTATAAAGAACCAGTTACAGTATCTAGTTCCCCACTTCAAGTCTGTCATTGAATAGTAGTTCTTGTTCATGCTGATTCTAAGTGTTCTAAATTTCAAGTTATCAAAATACATGTATATGAATAAAAATATTTTAAAAATTCTTTTGTCTTGTTTTTCTGACACATATACAAAATTTAAGTGTAATTAAGCTCTATGTTCTCTTAGGAAGACTTCCCCATGCTGCTAAGAAAATCAGACTTCAATGATTTTATCTTTAAACTTCATGTCATACTATGCGAGTTTAAATTGCAGAACCTTTTGGTATTTTCAACTTTTGCATGTTTTCTACAAGGCAAGTGTTAGAAGGCTAAAAAGACCTACGTAAATATTAACTTACTGTGAAATGTTAGAAAATCCTGAAATGGGGCTCAGGATGTCATCTAGCAATGCTTTCTCTCCACTTTCTAAATCCTTTTTCAGCTAAAGGTGTCTATTTTGCTGAGGAATAATTCCTCAGCTTAAAATGAAGGTTTCAGATTTATAGCAGCCATTTGATATCAAGAGGGTACAAATAGGGAAACAGTTTAAAAACATGTTTGACTTCAGAGCTTTAGTGACCAAAGGTGTCTTGAGATCCTAGTAAATCCAGAAGTGGTTACATGAGCATAAGAGTTCAGTGGGGTTTTCCCCTAGTAACAAGGCTTTAAAATTACAGCCAACCTATTTGACAATCATCAGGTAAAAATTTATTTATAAAGGCTACTACTGGTGTACATTCAAACATTTTTCTGTACACTCATGTCATCTGTTCCACCCTCACACGCTTAACACACACATCTCCAAATGTTTGATTCTCAACAACAGATACGCAAGTCTTTGCTTCCCCCAGTAAACATGTCCTCATTCCTCTACTCCCCAACTCACATAGCTTCCCTCTCCATCGCCATTGGCATGACAGCATGGCACCGGGTACACGCCCCCCTCACTTCTCAGACTCCTATCTGTACACATTTACTCCCACCTTCCCCCTGACACTCTCATAAACACACTCCCTCCTCCCACCACACGCGCACATGCACACACACACAGACCCACACGGACACAAACACACACACTACAGCAGTCTCCCATCCCAACCATACAATCCTGTTTCTCCACACATGCTCCCACTGCCACCTCACACCAGCCAGCCACATATACACACACATTCTCACTCCACGCAAGTTACGTTCATAACGAAAATAGTGGGTTTCTCTCACCCGATGTCAGAGGCATCCTTCAATGTCTGTACATAGAGATATACCTTCTTATAGCTGCCGAACTGCATTTTAGGAAGGAGGGTTATCACTTCAGATTCTTTTATTATATGTAACGGTTATATATCGACATATACATACATATGTATTTGATTACATATATATGGTACACATGTAAGGATTCTAGATGTCCATCCTTTATTCTAGAAAACTAAAAATAATGAGCTGTTTCTTATCTGAATTAAGGGTTTCTCTTTATAAAAGGCTCAAAAATTAAAATCTGCTTTTTAAAGGAGGACAGCAGCAAGAAACATCCTTAGAACCAAAGAACTGTGGAATAAACAAGTAGAAACTGCACACAGTCCCATTCTGAGGCCAAAATTATATTTGGTTGATAGCACAGAATATGTGCTGAGACAATGTGTAATGTTACAGCTGTTACTAGGCTATCTTGTTTCTTGTGGATCAAAAAGGGGCTGGCCAGTGTCAGGTTATTCCAGACCACAAATCAGGGGCCTATCAATCAACCTTAAACTCGTATACTACCAGTAAGGAGAGGACTAGGAATAGTCCTTCCGGTTCCGGGAAGCACTTTGCAGGATCCCAATCATTTGGAATGGTGCCCAGAGGCCTTCTAGTGAAGACTTACAAACCTGGAAGAGGAGATTATCACTGGTAGTGAACTACAGGGGGAAAAAATGGCATAAAGAAATGAGTCAGGCTCTCTCCCTGTCTCATACACACACACACAAGCTGTGTCAAATGTTTGATCTAAAGGCCAAATTTCTTCAGAACTGAATGTGATTGGAAGTTCACATGGTTGCTCTATACTAGCTAAAGCTAATGACCACATAACCAAAAAAAGATACGAATTAATTTTTTTTAGAAAATAACACAATTTATTACTATTTTAAAACAAGTTTCACAAAATAACATTCAGAAACTCAACATTTCTAAATAAGTTAACACAATAAGTTTAGTCATAAAGTCATGCTACAAAATTCCTGCATATAAAAGATTATTATCAAAGTATTAATAGATGTTAAAATGTTCTTTAGAATGGAGTTGGTTCTAGAAGCCAAAGATTCTGGAATGATGCTCGTTATCATGACTGACACCCTGGGAGAAGCAGCTAGCTGTATGTATATTCTCTACCACCAGTCTTTTGATGGGATTGATCCCTCCAGGCAATAGCACCTCAGAGGCAGGTATCCTGCAGATCAAAGAAGCAAAGAACTTCCCACCCTTGTCACATTAGCCACAGCTTAATTTAACCAACATCTAAATTAACTGTTAAAATCTAGACGTGGGAAAGATAACTAACGCACAAAGTTTCTATTCTGAGAAAGAGAATTCTACATGACACATTCCCCAGAGGGATGACTGTCAATGTAGCAGACATGGAAGATGACAAAACGGAGGGAAATAGGGAAATCCAGACTCTGATTATGTCAACAGACAACTATTGCTCAGGTTGGCTTAGAACGAGCAAGGATAAGTCTGATTCTCTAATATCCACATGCAGGCTAGGTATTTACCTATCTGCCCTTTGGGAGTCCTGTCTACCAACATCCAGTTCATAATTTTAAAGTGCAAATCTATGGCAAAATAGTTTACTCTCCCCCATCCCCTTGTTAAATTTGCTAGATCATAATTTGGTTGGCTGGTTCCCCTCTAATCTGCCCAATATGGGAAGTAACTAGAATCCAGTTATGACTTCTCCAAGTGGCAAGTGAAAATGTTTCTTAGGTTAGAAAAAAGTAAGACTCAGTCTCATTTTGACTTTCAGTTTTCTTCCTTTGCAGTCAGTTATAAAAAGGTAGCAACAGAGATTTCGATGTGGGATTTCTAAAAGTTCAGTGATTTTTTTAAGACATACTCTATTTTTTTTATTGCACCTATTTTATGGTTTTATGAAAAAACCAAAACCAAAACCAAAACCTTATGCTAGAGTGAGGATAAAGGAATATGGTCAAGTTAGCTGTGTCAGAAGCACCAACTCTGCTACACTGAAACTTGTTTTATATTTAATTATTCACAGACATATTAAGCAGCCTAAATAAAGAAAACATGTGCCGAAGGGATTAATTTCAGTTAAAAGATAACTTTCAGTTCAGCAGTTAGTTTTCTCCCTTTACCAACAATTACAATGTAAGGTCCTCACAAACTGACAAACTGCAGTTAAAGAGACACTACTCGTGATCAATACTTTGACACTCCCCACCCCCCAACACACCAATTTTTAAAAGTTAATGATTAAGTCCAACCTTCCTAGACCCTACACTTTTTCCATCAGTCCTAAGAAAAACCCAGGTGGAAGATTCTTGGTCACAGAGATAACTACCTTCAACTCCACTTACACATCACCAATTCTGAGAATAAGTCAACAGTTAAGATTCATTTTTTATTCCTCCTTACTCTACTTCAGACCACTGGTAAAAGAAGAATCTATTCAAGTCAAAATTCTTTTTCCACACAAGAACCACATTTAAGTGTCTAATAACCATACCAAGTAATACCAAGTTAATGACCAATTATCATGACATCCTTCTGATCACATCCAAAATTGGTGTCTACACCAGCTAACTTTCACATATGATTACCAAATTTTTCCAAATTTTATACAATATTTTTCTGTATTTAATGACTGCTAGAGTCTGGAAAATCTATGCATTAGTGGACAATGAACAAACATTTAAAGAATGATCCATTTTCTAAAAGTACACTCAAAATGTTCAAAGATAAAGCAAAATCTATCATAAAGTTGAATTCTGTTATAGTAAGAGAGAGGTAGGTTAACAATCACTGTCCTAAGATAAGCAGGAATACTAAGAAATAAAAGTTGAGACCCTGCTGAAAAACGTAAGTTGAACCTTCCAGCCCTGAGTTTCTAATGTTATATGACAATTATTAAAATGAGCATTACAAAAAAGCAAAACACCAATGACCATTTTCCTTCCATCCATAATTATTAAATACATTACCTTCTCTCATACAACAACTCAGGAGGCATATATGGCTAGAGTGAAAATAAATGCACCTGGACAAAAGGAATGTTAGTATAAAGCACTGGTTCTTAACCAGGGACAAATCTGTTCCTACCCCACTGCCAGAGGGGACAGATGGTAATGTCTGAAGACATTTTTGGTTGTCAGAACGAAACTGGGGATTCTACTGGTATCTAGTGAGTAGAAGCCAGAGATAGTGCTAAACATCCTATAACACACAGGATAACATTATCCAACCCAAAATGGTAATAGTGCCAACACTGAGAAACTCTGGTCTAAAGGAACAAACTCCTATGAACACAGAACACAAAAACCTTTCAAGGCCTGAACAGGTAATCTAGCCATAAACTTACAGTTTAGGGAATACAGAAAAGTTGAATTCCTTTGCAGACTAAAATCAAGTTACCTGTGGAAAATTAAAATACTGGATGGATTCCAGAGCTCTACCATCATTACAAGAATAGAAAAAATTTAGATGAGCCACTAAACTGGCATAATGCTTTAAACCAAGAGCACAGAGAGAATCCATCCCAATATCTGAGAACTATCAGTGATTTAAAAATATTAAGAAACAAGGAGAAGCAGAGAAAATGTTTCTATATTATAGAATTCAGAAAACCAAATGCCAACACCATAAGCCATTTTAAGATTCAATATGAAGTTATTCATTCCCTATTATATTCACTTCCAGAGTAACTTTTAGAAAATATATCCATACATAGCAAAATGGCTTCAAGCTTTCCTACTGGATGACATGCAAACTACAAGTGAAGAAGATCATCTTCCCTCCTAGTTTTGAAGATTTAAACATCACCAAGGGGAATACTCATTGCCTACAGTTCACAAAAGAAATACCCAAAGGCTTTGAATGTGTAAGCCAGAGTAAAGATTTCTTCC